AGGTCTTAAATATTTTAACCATATACCTGAACATCTAGATCAGTTTACGGATAATAATTTAATAGGTGTTTGTCATCATAAAAAGTTCAGCTACAATATGTTTCCATTTAATTTTAAGATATCACGTTGCAATTCACTGTTCGTATTTGTTAAGCAACCTTTTCTGATAATCTCATAAATCAATTAGATAGTTTAAACATTACAACTAAACTGTAGTTTATATGATATTATGTGACAAAATATTAAAGTCTAACCACGGGATTACTTTCATATTATTTTTTAAAAAACATGGGAGGATATCAAAGAAATAGGTATTCAAATATAGTCAAAAGGTACTTCTTTTTAAGGATATGTACATGGAATACAATAACATCATATTCAATGTTGAAGAGTAATGGTTCTTTAAAAAGATCCATCTTTAGAAAACAAACATGGAATGGCCAGCTAACCAACTTATATAACTGGGTTCCGTTTAGTAGGAAGAGAAACCTCATCCATTCTTTATGTTATCGAATACATCAGATATGCAGTACGGAATGCATTAACGAAGAATTTGAATTCCTCCAGAAAACATTGACGGAAAATGGTTACCCAGAACGGTTCATAGAAAAGAATATGAATAGAAGTAGTTGTGACAAGAAACCTAGTTGCTCCGTTCCGAAGAAAAACCTTTATATAAGTCTGGAATTTAAAGGTGATCGAACACCAGACGTAATCAAAAACCGTCTAACAACAACTATTAGAAGAACATTTAACGCCGCTAAACTGCGAATAATCTTCACTAGTAGGAACTTATTTTCTGTATCCATAAAAGATAAGCTTCCGTGTCTGGTCGCCTCTATGTGCATCTACCAGTTCACCTGTTCTTGTGGAGCAAGGTACATTGGCCGTAGCCAGCGCTCTTTTTCAACTCGGATACGGGAACATATTCCAGCTTGGTTTTATAAGAGAGAAAGGAAAGCAGTCAGGAGTTCTATACTGGAACACCTAATCGACTATAACCGTTCTACAGATCCAAAAAATGAATTTAAGGTTGTTTATATGATTCATTCAAATCTACCCAGATTTCTTCGTATCCAACTCTTAAAAACGGCCGAAGCTCTTACCATCCATGAGCGTAAACCAGAACTATGCGTACAAAAGAATTACGTCTTATCGTTACCTTGGCCTTAAGTAATTTGATTATCCTATTATTATTATTATTATTATTATTACTGCATTCTCCCCTTTACTTATGTCTTATATTCTCATTGTTTTATTCGTAAATGCTCATTATATCACTTTATTTATTTTTTACATCTCTATGACCTTTAATTATTATAAAGCATTTTAATTATCTTATTATATTCACTAAATCTATTGCTATCATTCATATTATGTAATCTAGTATTATAATCTTTTTATTACGTCATCTTGATTAATTGTGTTCACATTTCCTCACGGAATTAGTACTTTTTCATGTATATACGATTGTACAGCTTGATAAAAAAAATTCGTTGAAAAGAGATCACTTCGCTGAACTTGGTGTTTTAATTGTAGAGTGTTTTTATACACTTTGTCACCTTAATCATGATTAATTCTTACGTATTTGTACTACAAATTGTCAACATTTCTAATTTGAGCACAATTTATATATGATCCTTAACAGTTTTGAACTAAGAAAATATAAGGAATAGAAGAAGTTAGACATTAACACCGTTGGATGCCGGCTCAGTGGTCTAATGGTTAAGTGCTCGCGCGCGAAGCCAGCAGGTCCTGGGTTCGAATCCCGTGGGGGGCGGGTTCGTGGATGCGCACTGCTGAGGAGTCCCACAATAGGAAGAAACGGCCGTCCAGTGCTTCCAGGTTTTCCATGGTGGTCTAGCTTCAATTGGCTCATGATTTCAACTTGTGAAAATAAAAACTGTTTATTAAATTTTTAATTAAAATTAGTTAAGTAAAAGTTAATACGTTTAGTTAAAAGAGTAAAAACAGAAGTGTATAGCCTAAGGGTCTTTTTCATCGATTATTAGCAAATTTCTATGTAAGAAAAAAAAGAAACAAATGGGAAAACTTTAAGAAAAAGGGATTTCAAAGAAGAAAAAAAAATATTTCCCATACTAAATACTCGAATAATAATAAGTGTTTATAATATGAATTGTTGAAATCATTTTTTAAAAGGGAAAATTGCTTTCGTAATTATTTATAACTATAGAAGTGTAAAGATTGTTGAATTTTTTCGTTGAGATTATGAATCGATCAATATTAGACCACCACTGAATACCTGGAAGTATTAGACAGCTGTTTCATGCTAGTATGGAACTTTTTGGCAATGGACTCTATAACAGTGGAATTTATCTAAGATTTGTAGTATGTCGTTAGTATGTATCTGTTGTTTGTCAATCACTAAATGATTCATATAAAATTATTTGACTATGCTATCAAAAGGTGTATATTTGAAACTCAAACCAGAAATTCTTATTTCATGAAATTTTTATCGTTGTGATCAATATCATGGATGAAAAGTTGATGAACTAGAAATCTCAATGGTTGAGTAATGAGCAGAACAAAAACGCATAGAATATTAAAAACATACATATTGTAGGGTATGTTGTTTATGTTGACAGATATAAGTATTATTATTATCATCAGCTTTATTCAATATTATATTTTTGGTACAATATAGAATTCTCAGCGTAAAGTATTTCAACAAGTTTCCGTTTCTTTCTTCTTGGTCGGTCCTGGCGATATATATTGAGTGATCGCCAGTTAGATGTTAGCAGTTCAGTAAATGAACATCTGAATAATGTGCATTGTTTTCGCTGTATATTGCCAGCAACCACATTGTCTCTTATTGAGTTTTTTGTAACTTTGATAACGAAAGGTTGTACAATTTTCAGAACCGCAGCAGAATGGGTTATGCGATTAATAAACATAATGATATATTAAAACAAACAAAAATAGATAACTTGTTTAAATATCTAGATGGCAGGAACAGGTAGCCCAGATGCTCAAGCAAGCCGCCCTTGTAACATCAGTTTGAAGTAGAATGCCTGACAGCAGAAAACTGAGAAGATCGAATTAAGAAGAACAAGAATATAAACAGAGTGTAAATATAATAACAACGAGAATAAGGTAACGATGAAGTTTATCAGAGACAACTGCTATAAGATGTATAAATGAAGTATATTATGTATGGTTTTCATATTTTAAGAAGTCACTGTAATTTTGCATTCAAAAGAAAAACATTCTACTATTAAAGACAGAAAGTCATTGAAAATTAAATTGAATATGAATTTTTCAATGATGTACAATCAGTAATACATCAGTCTAAAGAAAAGTGACAATCTGAAATTTTTATTTTATGGTAGCTTAAACCTATTTTTTTGAACATTATACCGAAAAGCAGTGATGGATAGTAGCTAGCAATGGAGTCCAGGATGCGCGTTTCGTCCCATTTGGGACTCGTCAGCTGGATGTACCTGCATCTCAAAGTTGATGTTCACCCTGGAAGTCGAACCCAGTACCATTCGCTTCAAACGCCATCGCGTTATCCACTCAGCTACTGAGTCCTGATAGTCACTTGTGAATTTAAATTCAATTGGTATTATTTGGTTTGTATCTTCTCATTGAGTTTTTTAAGACTGTAATTGATCAGTGTGTTATTGGCATATGTGCATACTGTGCATATGCATCAATATTTCCTTAATTATACCAAAAAGGCATTTCAGTCATATGCTATATGTATATGTATTACAATTTCTTTCTTTCGCTTTTGTAATCAATATGATTTGTGATATGAAACTATTTTGTAAAATAAGGAATACCTTTTTAATATCCATTTTTATACTGAAAAGAAAGTAAGAAATAATACTGTCAAATGTAGTTGTTAACATTAAACTATGCATAAATAATTTATCTTAGATATTCTTACATTCATATCATTCCTTAAATCATTAATAGAAGCTTCATAACTTTCAACAGTTTATAGAGAAATGATCCTATCATATGAAATAATGATGCTTATCATATATGGGTTTCTACTCTTTCAACAGTATTATTTATTTATTTATTCATAATACTCCATAACTTTGATGTGAAACAAGACTCATTTGGTTACACTTGAAATGAAATTCGATTTAAATTATTTTTTTAACGTTTGGATTAAAAGTATTAAAGAAGCATTTTCTAATCTTAAATGGAAGAAGGTAGATTAAAAGTATGGTTTCCAGATGAAATGAACGATTGGAAAAAGAAAAAGAAACTCAGATTTTTCGGTATTCATTTTTAAGCATAAAATAGGATGAACAAATCACGTTATTATCAATTATTTATATGTAAATATATTCTGATTTGTCTCCTTTAACTAATATACATACGATTTTCTTACCTTACGTAACGATGCATTACTGATTGTAATTATCAAGAACAATTTGGTCCTTGTTTCAGTTTGTAACCATGTTATACTAAAAATGTTGTTATTACACATTATAAACTAAATCGAATTGTTTGTCATTAAGATTTATGTTCAAAACTTGAATGAATCTGTATAGAGACAATCAAATATACACCTAAAAACTCCAATGTGACTGATATTTTATTTAAGTCATAACTGAGTTTTAGGTTATATGAAGACAGTTACAGATATTGTGCTAAGCCTTATTGGTGAAAGAAAGTCTTTTTTTACTTTCTATTAGGTCTATTAAAGTTCTTAAAATAATTGTGTTTAACATAGTTTATAATTAATTCAGTTACACATGTGAATGTCAATCTGGAGTAGTTGAAACTATTGGTATTACATATATAACCAAATTTTCAATCTTACAAAACATCCTTGGTATCTAATATCATAATTTTAAATGTTTCTTTCCTACCGTTTTAACTTTACCCATCCATGTCTACCTTAATAGTTGTTCTTTCATTTATGATTGGTCAATTCTAACTAGCCAATAATCATGCTTACTAGAGCAATATTCATTGGATGAAGTCCAGGCCCCATTATAATCACAGTTAGCTGCATTACAACTAGATAATCTACACGGATAATTTTCTGGGTTTTAAAATTCTTTATTATTTTAGCATTGATAGTGTTCAATTTCCCATTTTCTTTTATGTAAAAGATAATCATATTTATAGTATCAAAAACATAGAAATCTCACTCAAAAGCCCCTTTATTGATTTTGTGCTCTTTAAGTAGGACAATGTGAGCTCCTGGGAACTAAAAAAATCATTTAAAATAAGTAACATTCAAATCGATATTTATTGATTATTTAAAGATAAATGGAGAGGAAGTTATTTAACACTTCTACAAACATAAGACATTATTTAGAGAACTACCAAAAAATGTATTTACCTTTTAAAATACATCTATAAAATACAATGTAATAATAACTTGAAATTCCTAAACAATACGAATAAACGTAATACAAATAACCCATCAGAAATTAACAATATAATGGATAATTCACAAGTTAATTTAATACATTATGAGAATGATAGAAACTGGATATTATGGCGTAATTCTACGCTATTTTTATTGATTCTTTGTACTGGTATTTTTATATCCATTGATATTTATACAATATCTGATAGAAAGTATGGAATTGGTGAGTCGTCAGTAATAATTAAGAGAACAATTAAAAATATTATTGAAAAAGACAAAGATAGTAGTACAGTGGATTTCATGAATGATCAATCTATACATTGGAATATTAATGATGATGATGATAATAAAATGAACGAAACTTTAATAAGATCTCACTATTCAAATCCTTACAGATTAAAAAACTACATGAATAGTATTACAAAAACATGTTTAAATATGGAATCTATTGATTGGAATATGATGTTATGGAGAGATAAAGGAAACTTTTATAATGAACGTAAGTTTCTCTTAAATTAATAAAAAAATGGAAGATATATTGTAATTTGTAATTCTATTGATAAGGTCGGTATTTAACTCTAGTGGTCATTTTTGATAGTTTTGTGTGCTTTTTTTGGTGTGTGCTAAATCGTTTAATTATAGATGTTTCATTATTGTTCTGTACACAATTATCAACACCTACTTAAAGGATAAGGTGGGCTCTTTAAAACTAATAATAAATTATTAGCAGCACTTCTCAAAATCCAGTATGTTTACAAAGTAGGTATAAGGTTAGATGTCCAGAACGAACGGAAGCTCTGGGATTAAATTATTTTGCACATAGAACATATAGTAACTGACCCTATTTCCTGCCCATACAGATTATTCTAGTTTCTGACAGACGAATCTATTCATTGTTCTTGAGTCACATTTTGGCTTTGTTAATTATTCGCATCACCTCTCTTATCTTTTGCCTTGTCTCGCCTCTATTCAAACTGACTATAAATATTGGGTAACCCTTAATTTGAATTGGCTCACATGCCTTCTCTACCGCACGTCATTTTGTTTCATTCTCTTTGCTTTGCTCTCTTCACTTCATTTTTGACCATGTGTTTGGATTAACGATTGAATGCAATACATGTATTCAAAATTAATTATCATATTTGACTTATTTAATTCCTTTTATTCACCAACTCGATTTAAGTCGGTGATTATATATGAGGATAGCCGGCATGTATATTTCGACAGCAATCAACATGCGATCAAATTAGAGTCAAATATTCCAGGGCTACTAAGAACACAAAGTTATTTAAAACCACTAATAAGATATTTATAACAAAAATCAGTGATGTCAGTTCTTCGTAAATCACACATCAACAAACAATCATAAATATATGGCACACAAATTTTAATAATCTAACAAATCTACATAAGTTATAAATAAATAGACTTTTCTGACGTTTGGTGACATAGTATAAGCCACTTCTTCAGAGGATAAATAACTAAATCAAAATTAATCCAAGTTATTATTATTAAATTATCAAGTCAAACATTGATAACGATACCTATATAAGTTAGGGTTAGGGTTATATATATATATATATATATATATATATATATATATATATATATATATATATATATATATATATATATATATATATTCAAAAATGAAGAATATTTGAGCGAACAATTGTTTTCAATAACTTCATCATCAGGCTCTACAGTTATAAGTCCATAATTATAATATTTTACACAGGCCAAAAATAAGACAAGTATTATTGAATTTAACAATGTTATGTGTTAGAAATGGTGCACGTTTACATCTGTTACGATATATATATATATATATGTATACTTCAAAATTGTAATATTTGACAAATTAGAAAGGTCATTCAATAAAGGTTAGGATGATTTGGAGTAAAGTGTTCAGTCACAATAAGTAGAGAATAGTATTATAGCAAAGTTGAAAATGCAAAACATTTTTTTGTGTAAATAAAATGCATAGTAGGAGAAATGTATCTTGTCAATTGAGATAATAATAATAAGATTGTTGTGTGAATATAATGTGTAATAAGGGGGGGAGGGCGTGTTATCAAGGTAATTACGATCAACGAATTGGGAATGATGGATGTGAAGATTAAGATAGAGATAATGACAAATACCCAACTACATTTGTATAAATTAATATTCCATTGATTCTATCTAATCTGATAAGTATAGAAAACATTTAGTTGTTATTCAATATAGAAATGAGTAGGAAGAGATATATATCCATCTCATTAAATCCCGTTTTGTTCTTTCTTTTTTCAAACAGAATATGATAAGATCAACTACAATTTGTTGTTGTTGTTGATACAGAAAAAAATATATAGAAATATATCAAATAATAATGATTATCTTAAAAAATTCACTCATTTAAGAGGAGGGTGTTATGATTTAATAAGAGAAAAAAACATTCATTTCAATCAGTGATAATATTTTAAAAAAAGAAACATCAAAGAGATAAGATAAACTAATTATTGAGATCATGAACCGATTGATGTTAGACCACCACCTTTGGAAACCTGGAAGCACTGGTCTAAAACATCAATCGGTTCATGATCTCAATCAAAAACTTAATAATCTCCACAACCCCTATACTAGTACTAAACTAATTACTTGAAATAAATAATTATTGATTATTACTTTCAGGAAATAGTTCCTATTTTTTTTGTTGATTTATGATTCAGATTCATAAAGATCCGAATAAGATTTTTAATTGATTTCATTAAAAAAAGTTAATTTGAGTATTGAATTGAAATAGTAACATTTTTCTTTGTTAAAAATGTAAATCATTAGTAAAGCTTATTAGTTCTTTGTAACTATGGATTGTTTTTTTGCAGTTTTCTTATACTCATTTATCAATGATTACTTTTAATCTTGATGAATTGTTTCACTTATTTTAACACAATACATATGTAATAATTGTATCAGCTCTCAGTATAGATTCTGAGATGATTATGAACTTGATTGAAGAGTTTAGACAAAACTAATCAATAGTATCAGAAGGAGTTTTGTGGAGATTGTACTAATTTCAACAGTTCAGATCATGAGTCAATTGAAGCTAGACCACCGTGGAAAACCTGGAAGCACTGGATGGCCGTTTCGTTCTATTGTGGGACTCCTCAGCAGTACGCATCTGTGACCCAGGACCTAACAGTCTCGCGCCAGGTGCTTAACCAGTATACCAGTGAGCCGGCATCCAGCTGTGGTAATGTCTAACTTCAACTAGTCCACAAAATTGAGCGACACATCCACCATTGTCATCAGTGAGTTACTATCAGTGCTTCCAGGTTTTCCATGGTGGTCTAGCTCCAGTTGACTGATGATTTCAACTGTTGAAATTAATCAATAGTATCTTATTTGATATAAATAATCTATTTAAAAAAATTTGACCTTTCACTATCATTCAGTAGAAGTACATAGTAAATACGAAACCAAGTCATTAAGGCTAACCGATGAATCATATAATTCAGAGAACACATGTTGATGAGAATAGTCAAACAGTCAGTCAGAGACTAGGTGAAAAGTTCATCAACCATTAACCATATAAAGCAGACAGTAAGTTTTTACTCCTTACGAACACAGACTAATAACTCATTAACATAATCGTAAAAATGTGTTCTAGTATTACTATTGTAAAATGTAATCAAATTATAAAATGGAATCCAAGTATAAAAAGAATTTTTTCGTATTTTTACACACTGAAAATTCCCCACTATTTCAAAACAAAAAAATACAATCAAATAAAAACCATAATAGGATGTGATTGGAGATCGTATTTATTGTATTCAAACACATGATATTGTAGTGAACAAAATCACAAGTGCGGACAATCGAATGTATTTGAACATAAAATTACAGAACATCTCGCTAAAATCTGAGAACCATATAGTAAGTCGTTAATTTGCAAAATATCAGTCCATCATCTCAAACTTGACTGTTCCTGTTGCAAATATCAATCCATTGTCTCGAATTTCATTGTTCATGCGTTCTGTTCCTATTCTTTCCTCATCGACCTCCTACTAAAATACGTTCTATGCCTGACCATCGTTATATACTACATATGTGGATATAAGTAACCACAGTATCACATAAAAGCCATTTAGTTAGTTAACTTAATAGTGACATTACAAACTGATTAACTGAATTCGATAAATAAAACCAAGTGATCACCCAACATTAAATGAATTGTCTTAAAATAGATTTAGCAACAACGACAATAATAATAGTTGTCTGATGCAAACTAACTGAACGGCCAAAAGTGATTAAATTAAGCATGCAAATCTCATTAAACAGTGTATTTACTTTGTTTTTTTCATTCTCTTTATCAAAATCAAATTTAATAGTAATAGCATATATGATACAGTGATGGAAATAAAACAAAAAAGTATCAGAGGTAGATATATAAGTGGAGAAGATTTATAGTCCAGGTAGAAGTCTACCTGAAGTAACATTACAGTACCATGTATTCAAATGGTGAAAATAAATAATAAAAAAACTGGTTTTCTTTTTTAATACTTTTTCACATTGCATGTATATTTACTCTTGAGTTAACTTAAGATTTTAATAAAATCTACTAATCTTTTTCAATAAAACAAACAAACAAAAACTGCCAAATTTAAAGGAACTAGTTCATTTTAGTCTAATGAAAATCTAGTGTCAACGTTCTCAGTAATAGACAATGTAAAAAAAAGAGGGACGAAGTAGTTTTGTATATTGTGTTTTGATGAAAACGTAACGTAAAATAAGACGAAATTATTCATTTTTTTTTGTTGTTGTTGATTTCATTATGAGGTAATAAAACAAAAAAAGTATCAGAGGTAGATAGATAAATGGAGGAGATTTGTAGTTCAGGTAGAAATCTACCCGAGGTTTTTGCTGATGAAGTCGTTCAGAAGAACGATTAAAGCTCCACGAATAAACCATCCAGCTTGTAGTGTCGGTTATTATGTTAAGCTCCTATACCTTATTCTAGCTTTCAGATAGCCCATTCTATTCATCCTACTTGAGTCACATTCTGATCTTGTTATTTATCAGCTTACCAATCTTGACTGTTTATATATTAACGCGTAGGTGGTGTGTGTACATTTCTTATCCCATTACTCATCACATGTCTGTAACTTACATTTGTGTAACTATAAATATTAATTAACGCTTGTTTAAATGGGAGTTGGTTTACCCACCATCACCACCGAGCGTCGTTTTGCTTCTCTCTATTCCATTCGCTTCATGTACAAAATGTATGTATTGACAAGTCCATTTTCGTTATTCGACTTATTTAATTCCGTTATTGATTAACGCGATTTAAGTCGATGATTATATACGAGGATAGGCGATAACAAACATTCATACAATCTAATTGGAGTCAGATCCACGGGCCACTAAAGGCTCACAGAACAAAACTCCATCAAAAAGAAGATAGCTAAGTTTCGAAATATATTTTGTATAATAGCATTTAAGAATGAAATCAAACAT